AGTCACTAAGCACGTTACAATTGTGGCCATTTGTCTCTCACTCCACGCAGAGATGGGAGCATGTTCCTATTGTACATGTTTTTAGTGGTAGGGAAAACCAGAGCACCTGGAAGAAATCTACGCTGACACCGGGGAGAACATGCAAACTCCACTCAGAATGGCCCTGTTTCGACAGGGATTGAACAGTCCACAGCCGTCAGGAGTCTAGCTCCCTGGTGCCTGATCCTAAACCTGTTGATAGTTGAGTGACGTGAGGTGAGGTTGGTGATTGGTGAGGCACTGACTTCACCCCAATCAGATAAACATACAGTATATCATATAAATCAACAGGACCTACAGAGTGGCTTATTCACAATTTGTTTGGCTACAGCAGAATATGTTTCATGTCCGCATTGTTTACTCATACCAAACACAAAAGTATGTAAAAAGCACATTTAACAGTGGGTTATGGTCCTTACCTCACTGTAAACATGAACTACACAGACCACTTCAGTTCAGACCAGTTTCATGTTTAAGTCCAGATAATAGTTTGAGCGTAGATATAAAATCCTCCATTTGAAAATAAGTCCAATGAGTTTTAAAAAGTAAAACAAAACGGGTCTCTCCTTCATAAACTCTCTTCCTTATATCATCATTGGAAGCATAAAATTACCCTAAATGAATTTTAAATAATCTTACAATGTGTTACATGTATTTTAGCCAAACCTGCAGCTGCCCTTAGCAGAAGAAGAACAAGAAAGGGGCTTTCAGATTAAATTGGATGCAGCCGAATTCTGGGCTCACATGCGCCCCCTACCCTGAGGCTGGCCTCATTTGGTGACATTACAAGCCGTGGTTTGAGCTTGATTAAGACCCATATTTGTTGTCAAAAACAAAATTTATGACCCATCCCCTCGACTGCAGACGTGTTGATTGTAAAGGAAATATATTTGAACTTTGTAAACCGCGATAAACAGAGAAAACAGTTCGATAGCAGCGCACGGGCTCCTGCCTCTGTGAACTACGGGCACCGCTCTGTCAAATATGAGAGAAAATGACGAAAATATGTGATTTCAAGGTAAAACTTTATGAAATAAGTCAAAATTACATGAAAATAATACAAACACATAAATCACTTGATAAAGTATTATTATTTCCATTTTATTCTTTTTTTCCCCATGATCGTAGGTGAGGCCAGGCCTCGCGTCACTGCTGTTTTCTGTAACTTCCGACCTTTCGTCCCGTGCCCTTTTATGTTGTTCCTGCTCGTTACATGTATTTCAAAACAAAATTAAATTGTGTTTTGTTGTGTTTTTACACTATACAGGGATCAAGAGTTCCGAGCTTCCGGCTCGACCACACGGCATTGTGGGTAGTCTTCTCAAAAAAGTGGGCATGAAATCACGCTCTCCTATTAGATTACCTGTTACGAGCGTGATCTGTCTCTTTTTTCCAGCCCATCGATTGTTTTAATTGCTACAAAAATCACCAATTTCAGACATTTAGAAGGTAAAGATTTTTTCATGTAACAAAAAAGCAATGCATTTATTTTCTTGTAGTTTTGGATGTAAACACAAGCGACTGACGATAGAGCTATGCTTATGAGCTTAGAAGGCTTATGCTACTTACGAGGATCGAATGCTTACACGCGAGCTTTATAAACTTACCCAAAGCAAAGGTGTGCAGTAGGCTTTAAACAAAGTTATTTTCACTTTGTCTGTACTCATGTGAAATCTCCATGCTTAAGTTTTAGCCTGTCCATACAGCTCACAGTACTGCCTCTGAATGTCATCGTCTTCACTGAGGTCACTCCTGATGACGTGCCCCAGGTATTTGGCCTTTTCTACATTCAGAAGCTCCACACTAGACAAATATGTCCAAAGTACAGCTTTGGGCAAGTTTATGAAGCTTGCGTGTAAGCATTCGATCCTCGTAAGTAGCATAAGCTGTTGCTCTCAGTCAGTCGTCAGTCGGTTGTGTTTACATCTAAAACCACAAAAAAAATTAATGCATTGCTTTTTTGTTACATGAAAAAATCTTTACCTTCTAAATTTCTGAAATTGGTGATTTTTGTAGCGATTAAAACTATCGATGGGCTGGAAAAACAAGAGACAGATCACGCTCGCAACAGGTAATCTAATAGGAGAGCGTGAGTTTATGCCCACTTTTTTGAGAATACTACCCACAATGCTGTGCGGTCGAGCCGGAAGCTCGGAACTCTTGATCCCTGTATACAACCGCCAGATCAGCAGAGGAGGAGAATTCTGCACCCTTAAAAGTCAAATGCAGAGGGCAAAGTTACATTCAGGTAAGTGTCTCACCCTCCCCTACCTGTCCTCTGGATGGAGCTTGTTGGAGGCCTGTTCCCTCCCAAGGCATGGTCCGGGGTCTCCCTCCAGGGAACGCATTGGGGTCCCCCAGGCGTAGCTGGAGGAAGTGTGTGGAAGAAGTCTGGGCGTCTCTGCTCAGGCTGCTGCCCTGCTAAACCAAATATTTACTCCTAAAACCCACACATGGAACCATCTTGCCTCAATTTGCATTAAAAGTGACATTTGTGTCTTAATTCTAAAACTCCACACAGCTCCTTCTAATCCCGTCGCACCTCCCTGATCTTCAACACGGTCTGAGCTGAGAGACACATGTTGGAGGCCACTTTGAGTAGAATCATTAAAGCGACATCTCCAGAGTTTGTGTTGGCCACCTCAAATCTCAAGAAGCACAAACAGCAAAACAGACTCCTCAGTCCATTCGGCTGGTTTGCATCTTCTTCAAGTTTATTGTGGTCAACCCAAACCCAAAATGACAACCCCCGTCATGTCCCCATTTGCTGACAGACTCTCAGTAACAGGAGAGCTCAACGTTAAGGTGTTTATTTAACCAGGATATTCCCACTGAGAGCTTGGCATTTCTTTTTCAGAGATGTCCTGGCCCCAGAGAACGGAGCTATTGTACTTTTTTAGTGGAAGTGGAAATCGATGGAAAGCTACGCAACCTCCACTCAGTAAGGCCCGGATCCGACAGGGATTCCAACTCAGAACCCTCTTGCGAAGAAGCAGCTGTGACGTAGAACAGGAGGTACTATGCAGTGTTAGGGTCGCAGCTCGGCCTTGCTGTATTGGGCCTTGCCGCACTGGGCCTCAACCGTACTGGGCCTCGCTGGCACTGGGCCTCGTCGTACTGTGCCTTGCCACACTGGGCCTCGGATGGGAGGTCCGAGGGCACACTTTAGTTTGTGCACTAAAGTGTGCCCTCGGAAGTGTGCACAATCAGTATCACTCTATACTTTAGTGTGCACTAAAGTGTAGAGTGATTCTGATTGTGGTTGTGTTTATTCTGAGTTAGTAATGTTAAGACTCCTTGCGTTTTTGAATTTAAGTGGTCCTTAAATTCAAAAACGTCTTATTTTAGCTCAGAATAAACACAGCCACAATAACCTCCCACCCATGCAGACTCATGCTAACCATGAGTCTGCATGGTTAGCAGACTCATGGTTGCTAACCATGCAGCCGCCACAACCCTCCTGTCGGAAGTAAACGCCTTACTTCCTTCTCCATATCCAACTGAAGCAACCCAAGCCTTTGCGTTGCTTCTTCTCTTCAGTCACCTGGAACGGCATCCTCACGTCTGTCGTCTTTTGTGAGGAGTCTGCAGTTTTCGCCTGTTTAAAAGCGCCTGTCCTTATGAGCTGCCCCTTCTTCTTACGCAGGTTCTGTGCACTCACCTCCTCCTCAGACACAGTCTCTAAATGTGACTGGCGGAAGCAACACAAGACGTTGCAAATGGATTTCTCTTTACAGCGCTGCTTCTCCTCTTCAATCACCTGGAACGGCATCCTCACGTTTGTCGTTGCTTGTGAGGAGTCTGCAGTCAGCCGCCTCTGCTCACACAGGTCCTGCGCACTCACCTCTACCTCAGGTATAGTCTCTCTATGTGACTGTTCCACCGTCTGCGGCCGTGACTCTGTTCCACATTCAGACGTTGTGGGCTCCTTCACAAACTGTTGCATCTCCCGATGAAGACGAGTCACATCTTCAGTCAATCGTGTGACGTTCTGCATCATGAACTCGTTGGACTCTGTCAGAATCTGGAGCTGAAGATCTCTTACTTCTAACTGGAGCTGTTTCTGTCTGAGCTCTTGTTCCACACTTCTCTGGGCGGTGTTCAAACGCGCCTCTTGCTTTCGGGCCAATCCTATGACACAGGTCAGTTTGGCCTCATGTCCTTCCACCTGTGTGTGCTCCATGGGACAAAGATCCTTAATCTTGGTTGGTTTGGCATGAACGGGACCCTCACCTTCATCTGTCAGCCGACACAGGAACTCATTCTTGGCTTTATGGAGAGCCAGGATCTCTTCGTCTTTAGCTGTCAGGTCTTCTTGAGCTCTTCTAAGCTGCTCTTCAAACCCTCGGTGCTCAGATATTCTGGCTTGGGTTGAGTCGGATATTCTGGCTTGGGTTGAGTCCTTCTCTCTGACCTCGGCCATCCTCAGATCTCTGCGCAGCTTGGCACAGACGTTGTCGTCTTGAGCGAGCTTTAGCTGTTTTTGCGCTTCATTCAACTGACAAGTCTTCTCTTTCAGATCCTTCTTCAGGTCTTCAATCTGACTGGTCAGATTGGCCTTCTGGCTCGCAGCTGTAGCCTTTAGCTCTTCTATCTCTTTGAGACGGTTTCGCTTAAAGGAATCCCTGTACTGTTCCCTAAACCAGGTGAGGTCCTCTCCATCCCCCATTCTCGCTTAGCAATGAAGGCCTGCAACTCCTGGTTTTTGACTTTGCAGTCTACCAGGAGCGCACAACAGGCACACGGGTGTTGGTGGGCCATGTTATCGTCCAAACTCATCTTTGTGTGTGTTTCGGAGTCAGTTACTCCATGTCTGACTTGACAGACCCAGACCTACATGAACTAATGTCCTGCTCCACCTCTGCTGCTCTGACCCGTCCTGCTCCAGCCTAAGCTGTTTCATATTTGGAATAGAATGTGATGTCACAAAGCTTAGATGGCCGTTACCATGGAAACCGCAAATGGTCTTGAACATCACCATAGAAGGCTGTTACCATGGAAACCTAGAGTGGTTTTTACTGTGAGTTCTGTTGTCTCTGTTGTAAATAACATCAATAAAGAAATAAGAAATAACCTTTATTTGTGCCACTGTCATCGCTGCACAGAACGGGACGTGAGGACACAGATGAGATACATATATGTGGGACCAGAAAATAACATATATGTGAGACCAGAGAGATCTGAAATGGACCAGAAAGTGGCCAGACTGTATGAGGACCAGAGTGAGGGACCAGAGAGGGGGACCAGAGAGAGGGACACTGACCTTCCCTGGTCTGACTGCTCCCAAGTCCAGGCCAAGTGCCACAGTGATCATTCTCACATCCTGGAGCCTTGAAGCAGAAATATCCTTCTAAATCGTCTTTCTCTCTTTTCTCCATGTTCCAACATTGTTTCTCACCAGTCACAGACCTGGACTTGTTTTGAGAGGCATCTTGCATGTAAAAAAATCTGATGTAACAAAAATGAATTTACTTTATTTGATTAGAATTTTCGACCATATTGTTTAATAGCATGGTAACTTTGGATTCGATTTCAGTCAAATGGTAGCCTCTGCCATATACTACGGTGCCGTGTGCTGGGCCCCGGGCAGCACAGAGCGGGACAGGAGCAGACTGAACAAGCTAGTCAGGAGGGCCAGCTCCACTCTGGGCTGCTCCCTGGACTCTGTGGAGGAGGTGAGGGACAGGAGGGTGCTAGCCAAAGCCACCTCCATCATGAACAACACCTCCCACTGCACAGGACTGTAGAGGAGCTGAGGAGCTCCTTCAGTGGAAGACTGAGGCACCCTCAGTGTAGGAAGGAGCGCTACCGCAGGGCCTTTATCCTAGCTGCTGTCAGACTGTTCAACAAGTCGCTTTAAGTCACTGCATTAAGACTGATAAAAAACCTACACTACTATTGACATTTCTTTCTTGATTGCCACTTTCTAATTGCCACTTTTTTGTGCATAATATGTCCTGCATTAACATGTTGCACATTTCTTACTTTTTGCACAATTCTGAGATTAATAAAGTACATCTTATATTATCTTGTCATTCCGACTCTCTCTCCAAAAACATTGGAGCTCCCTAATGCTAACGGTCTTAATTGTGGAAGTAATTATGAAAACCCAAAAAGGTGGCTTTTGTATCAAACTTTCTCTGTTACAACAATTGTTTTTAGAGTAATCATTAGTTTTAAAATTGTGATATTTCATGTAAATAATTCATGTGTTTAATACGACTGATGTACAGTATATATTAACGGACGTAGTCACGCCTATCTCCGCCGTTCAAACTAATGGGTCAAAAAATTTGCTCTACTGGAGCAATCCAAAAGGCCGCGAGTGGTCCCGCCCACAAGAAAATTGTATGGAAAAAACGCATCTGCGCATGCGTCAGCCGGCGAGAGCTCCATTCATTTGAACGAGAGACTTCAGAAATTTACAGCGACTAAACCAGAGTGGTCCAAAAAAATTCACTCCCCTCAGCATTGACACACATGTGGAACGGAGCTTTGGGCCAAGAGCCAACTTTTGGTCCATCCTGTAAAGACGTTTTGGAGAGGTCAGCTAATGCTATATGTTAGCATTGGCTAATTGTTATTCTGGGTCCACCCCCATCGGCCCGGGGTGGTATTGCAAGCATGTCAGCGCACATCATTTTGGCCACTTTTGAGCCGGGGCCCGCCCCCACTGAGATCATCGCGAGGCCCTTACGTAGCCTGCCGCGCACCCTCAAAAATGTCTAACTACTATTGTCTAAAACAGTGTCTCCCAAAGTCCGGGCCCTGGTGGGCCGCGAGGGTACTGCAGGGGGGCCGCGGGAGGTCATAAAAAAAAAAATATATATATATATATATAATTATTTAATGTTAAATTTATAATGTTTTGTTTGTAATATTAAAATATTTGTGTTCATTATTTGACTTGAATAATCCACTGTAATCATTTTTGTATTACAATGTTTGTAGCAGAGGCTATTTCCCCAAAATAAAATAACCAGAAGAGCCTATTCTTAATGTTGTCTTCTTGGTTATTATTTTGGGGGGGCCACGCAGACCCGTCAGATTTTTAAGGGGGCCTCGGTGTTACTGAGTTTGGGAATGGCTGGTCTAAAAATAGACTTTGACGTCTTCGAATTTGATACAGAAATAAGACCAAGCATACAAGAATTAAAAATAGAACATTTAATTACAATTAAATGTTGATACAAAACTCTTGGAGCTATTAATTCCGTATAACTAACCCTATCTAATCCTATGAGCTGAGCTTAAAGTAACTGTCCCTAAACTATGTGAGAGAGGTCAACCAGGCGCTCTGCGATGACCTCTGTCTATCTGACCCTGCTCAAAACTGACAAAATTATTATCACATATGGTATAATTAAAAATGTGCAGAAGCGGCGTGGCTTCATCAGGCGACGTCGGTCCAGACCAGATCTCAGTCTCGGGTCCTGGTCTGAAGTCCTTTTCGCCACATCATTGACAGACTAATTCACCCTCGCTGTGTGAAGGAGAGGTTCCGTAGGTCTTTCCTTCCTGCTGCTGTCAGACTGTACAATAAGAACTGCTGAGCCTGTAAATTTCATTCATCTGTAACTAAGTAAATTCTTAAATCATGTGCAATGTGCAATACTGCAACTTCAGAATGTCACAGAACAATGTCACTTTACTTATATACTTTTTATCCTGCACTATTTAACTGTACAGTATATAACTGCACTACTACATATATCTCTTGACTGGTATTGAAGCATTTTCAGCATCTACAGCTAGTTATGTTAGCTAAGAAACATAGCTACTACTTATTTGTATATATTGTGTGTGCTCCCTGTGTGCTCTTACTACTGTCCTATATGTGCGATGCAACATTGAAATTTCCCCACTGTGGGACAAATAAAGGAATTCTTATCTTATCTTATCACTTTTCTGAAAAACACTTTGGAGAAACAGGAAGCAAATGTTCCCTATTTTGTCTACTGTCATCAATTTAAACTCTTGACATTTTTGTTTCTGTCTTGTGACAGTCTGTGTCCAGCACAAACTCATTTGACCTCAGAGAGTTTTGATATAAAACTATACAATTTCATGATTACATATATAATTTCACAATTTAATAAATGATGATCACTTTGCAAGCCGCGCCGCAGAGAAGCTCCGCTGTGATTGGTCCGTGTGTGATTACTTTCTGGGCAGCACGGAGCGGCTGCAGGAACATGGACGAGACACTATGGAGCAGGTTTGGGCTCATGGCAGAGCCTGATATACGCGGAGCCTGTGGACTAGAGTTCTGTTGCATATCTAACTTATATATAACTTATAAACTGTGCAGTCGTTTCTTTTGCACTGTTCCTGTCTTTGTTTGAATCTGCACTCGTAGTTTATCGTGTCTGTTGCATTCCTCCTTTACTTGTAAATCGTTCATGTTTGGTCTCAGATATTTACCCCTTATTGTTTTGCTGCCTGTGCTAAATAAAATTTAATAATAACTATGTTTCCAACAGGAACTGTGTCTTTATTCACAACATCACAGTTGAAATGACTTATGAAACAATGAGTCCATAGAACTATCACATAAATCTACACTAGATACACATGTAATGATCTCAAAAAGCTTGGTTTGCTAATGTTTTTGTTCTGAAAAGGAGAAAGTTGCAAGCATAAATGGGACCGCTTTGGTTTCTCAGGCAACTCCTGTGAGATCTCCATCATGTGGTTGGTTTTTTCTCATTCTCTTCAAAACTCCGCAAGGGGAACGCACGAATGTACCACCGATTGTGCTTGCGTAGATCCACCGCAACAGCTAACGTAAGCCCCGCCGCGCGAGAGTACACAGGCCTTAAAGCTGTACTGTAAATAAAAAACACATTACTATGAAATATCAATAACAAGTAAAACATAATGTGTCACGTGTCCAAAGCTGGTTGTTGACCATTCACCAGTGGTTCTCAAAGTGTGGTACGTGTAGTAGTACGAGTACGCGGGGCTCTCTAGTGGTACGCCAAAGAATCATTGAATTTTTTTTAATTTAACCAGGAAAGTTCCATTGAGATTAAAGCTGCACTACCTGACTTTTAGAAATGTTCGAATAAGAACGCTGAGCTCGCCATCCCCGCACGGAGCTTTCGCCCCCAACTCAAGTCCTGGCTCCTGCAGATTCTCTGTTGACACAGATATTCTTTCCTCTTCAGAAGCTGGTTCCTCTCGTTCATCCCCCTCCAGTCTGAGAGAAGACTTTTCCACACAGGAGACAAGAGATTCTGCACGACATGCCTCTTATCGCAGATTTTAAAAGTCGATGGCCAGCTCTCTTTTCAAATCGAGAGGTAAGTCCATGTTGGTTTGTAATTATAACTAGAAACCGCCATTGTGAGTGTTAAAATGTGTGAAAAAGGGTCCTAAAGTATTGAAAGAATCTAATGTTACAACTAATACATCATTTCACTATTACCACCTATTACACAATTGGTTATCAATTTTTGTTGTTTGACAATAAAATATAGATTTAATAAAATGACTCGCCCATTCTGTAAGGGATGATATTATATCATTTTTATTTATGTTGTAGATAAATGCAGAATTCAGACGAATCACCACAACATCCTTGACGTCGAAGTTTATGTCCCAGTTGGATGAGTACGCCCCTGAACTAATCCAAATCTACAGGAAGAAAGGAGGAAAACTTGGCCACAAAATCACCGAAATCATGGAAGGAATTGCAGAGGTTTGTTATTTTGAATGACAACTAAACACCAAATCAACTTTTTATCTTACAAACTGCATAAATATTTTTGTTATAGTGCTCTCTACATATTATGGTCAATTGTTTGACATTTTAGTGCAAATTAGAGAAAATCTCACAGTTAAACCTAAAACCGTCAGTGTGGCGCCCGTTCTACACTAAAGTGGAAATACATTTGAATTGATCACATCCCTTTGCAGCGTTACAGGCGCAGAACGACGGATGTCTAGCTGCTTTCTTTGATGCTTTCCACTCCAGCATCAAAGTCTCACACATTCCCAGTAGCGAGTTGGGAATATTCTGGCGACATCTATTAGTTTATAATATTATTATTATTGTTATATAATTCTGTGGCTTAGGTTCAGCTGTGTAGCTCTACAATTATCATAGTGTGTAAACAAGGGTGGAAGGAGAAGGTCAAGTGCGTAAACTATTTCTTTAAGCAGCAATTACAACTGTGTTTTTATTATTTTGTCTGGGCTGTGATTGTTAGCTCGCTTACAATACTAATTTATTCTTGTATAGCCCTAAATCATAACAGAATTCATCTCAGAGACTTAACAAAACCATTGAAATCACCAACACAAATCAGAGAATCAACAGTGAAAACACAAAGAATATTAAACACGTCTTAAAAAAATGTCCATACACGCTTGTCAGATAAAAAAGCCCCCCATTGTCCCTTGGTCCTCCAAGCATCGCCCTTTTTTAGAGAATTTTCACATTTCCATGTGGGCAGAGTAAGGCGTCTTCAGTCTTTAGTCTTTTAAAGTTGATAACGTTGGGCCAACATTAAAATATCTGGCCAATAAGGTTCTGGGCTGTGTGTCAGAAAATGCTACTCTAAAATAGAAGGATGTGTAAATTTAAGTTGTAATTATTCTTTTAGTTGGTTTATTTTATCATGCAATTACATTGTCATAAAATATTTTAACTCTACATAAACTATTTTCCCCTGTTCAGGGAGACTCCATTGACACTGTGAGGTAGTGTAGCAAGAGTGGGTCAAAGTGGCAGAAGAACAAA